TCACTCGCCCATGGCAGTGGTGCGTGTAAGGGACATCTTTATCTCCATTTAGTTGACCGCAAGGTATCATGAACTGTAAGATGTCACAGTCAAAATCATGATATGATGATGAATGGGCCCCCTACCGCCCCCACACCCCCTGTGTCTGTTGGATAACGGAGATACGACACAATATTGGTATTGTTTGGCCACCGTCTGCTTTGTTTTCTTCAATAATTCACGGCAGGCACTTTCTTCCTGCAAAAGTTCAACGACAAGTGTCCAAGGAACTCTTCCCAGCTTGAACTACCAAACACACTTTTTTGTTCCCTAGGTAGCTTTGGAAAGCACAGTGGACTTGAGAACTTTGCCACATCCGGACCAACAGAAGCAAATATGTCCCACGAATCTAGTCATACAAGTGGCATGTTGGGCGCTCGAACCAGACACAAAAGCTTACACTTACCCGTTGAGATTCTACTTCGAATAGCTCCTCATCTCGAATCCGGCTATGAATCTTCAGACCTAGCAGAATGGCAGAAGGGTCTGGAATTGATCGCCCGGAGAAATCTTTGGACTTTCTGTCTCGTTGGCCCAGCATGGCGGGCAGTTGGCCAGATGTTTCTGTTCCGACACTATAGGGCGACAAAAACTTTACCGCTGTTTGTCAGGTCTCTCGTTGAGTGCCCTGACCTTGGAGAACTTGTGGAATCTGTTTGTCTAGACAGCTTCTCTTATGAAACCCTGCGTGGATATCAAGAAGCGACGATGCTATTGGAAAAAAGAAGCAAACAGCTTGGAATTGAGTTTCTCCGCGATGAGGATACGACGAATCTGCCAAAGCGGATTGTCACAGGCAACGAAGTCCAGTCATTCTTGGCGACTATGTTGCTGGCACACACGACTCGGGCGAAGCACGTAAAGCTGCCAGTACAATGGTCGTGTGAAGTTTTAAAGAAGCTCGTGGTTGCTAAGAGCTTATCAACAATTACATCGCCACAAAACCCACGCACCGGATTCAAGAATCTAGTACACTTGACCCTTGGCAAACCGGACTCTCCAGGAGGAGGAGGGCGGGAATTCCTCCACGACACCATTGAATATTGGTGCGCGCTTCAACTCGCGCCAAACCTGACCTCTCTCGCTCTCTTCGACTTCTTTCCAATCAAGTCTCCTCTAGGCCTCAGTCATCATGATCTGTTCGCAAACCTTACGAGTCTAAGAATTGGTGGAAGCCTGCGTAACACACAATCGTTTGTGGACCACTACAAGTCGATTTGCAGAGTCTGCAGAATTCTGGAAGAGATTCAGATTATCATGCCGCAGCACCCCGGCCGAATAGCTAGTTTGCTAGATTCATTACAGCCTTTCGCACCTACTCTCAAACGGCTACGACTGAGCATTGATATAGGTACTATGCCTATTGAGCATCCATTGTGGGAGTGGGACGGCTTGGATATGTTGCAACAACTCACCCGTCTGGATACTTTGCGATTAGATTTCAACCACGCCCTCTGTCGCGACCATTCCACGCCCTTTCCACGCGAGGCCGTCCGAACAGGGGCGTTTTTCGATTCATTGCCGATTTCACTGCGTACGTTATTTTTGCCAGGGTGCAACTGGGCCATTAGAAATCCGATGGATCACACGATTCGGCGTGAGTACCACACAATAGATCGATTGGTTACAAGGATACGACGTGGTGATCTTCCGGAATTCCGAACTCTGTACATCGCTTGCAACCGTCGAGCTCCATCCCCTTTCTTCGGACAACTTGAGGATTTGGGAGTCGAAGTTGTTCATTACAATCATCATGCGACATTGTGTGGTGGTGACCTTGCAGCTCTGGATGTCGAGAATTGGAAACTACTCTAGGCAGGAGAATAGGGAGATAAGGGCCAATGGCTTAGAGGCAATTAATATGGCTGACAATGCATTGCGAAGGAATTTGGTTCATGCATCAGACAGGCATTCCAATCATCAGATTGGTGAATCCCATTTCCTCTTCTAAGTCTTGACATGCACTTGTGAGTTACCTTAGACACAATGCTTTTCCCTGAAGCGTGGCAAGGGGACCATTGATCATGAACGGCAAACATTATGCAAATTCTTCACGACTTTGATTCTTGTGCATGCAACATCTACGCAGCTAAGCCTACCCGGTCAAAGTCCGGTGCCCAAGCACTTCCCACGCCCGAAATGCTAATGGTGTTGGCGCCGCCGGCGGTGAAACCTGTCAACTCAACTGCGTATCCCTTGAAAACATCTGCGGACCAGTTGTACCCGCTGAGAGGAAAGCTGACCGTTTGCGCGGCGCCCCCGTTGACACTGATGGACGCCAGCCTCTCGTTGTTGCTGCCTCCCAGGTACCCGACATCACCGTTGATGTAGTCGAACAGGACGGTCTGCGTGCCGGCCTTTGATGTCGAGACGTTGGACAACACAACGCGGCCGTTGGAGGAGCCGCCGAGATTGCCGACCTTGTTAGAGGACGTGCAGCCGGAGCAGGACTGCAGGTTCGCGCCGGATGACAGCGAGCCGGTGGCGACGGAGACGTAGTTGTACTTCGCGCCGGCGGCGGTTGAGCGCTGGATGTTGGAGAGGCGAAGTGCGAGGGAACCGTGAGCGTTGACTTGCGCAGAGTAGCTGTTGGCGTTGGTGACCGACTTTGACGTCCAGAGGTCCTTGACCGTGGCGGAGGTGATGCCGAGATCGGCGAGCTGGACAGTCAGCGTGCGGGCCGCATTGCTCAGGTCGACGACAAGGACGGCGACATCTCCGTTGGCGAGGTCACCGGCCCAGAGGTCGCGGTTTCCTGTCCAGCGCTGAACTAGCTTGATGGGCTTGACGGCTGAGTCCTGGTTGATGGCGATAAGATCCTTGTTTTGCAAGACGGCAACGGCCTGATCAGAGAGAGCGGCAAGATTGGTGGAAATCATGAGCGCAGACTTGAGCATGGCCCAGGACGCAAAGTGAGTGGCTTGCTCGTCAAAAGTCATGCCAGTGTTGCCGACTTCGAGAAGGTCAGCATCAGCGATGTTGCCCGGCCCGACGATGCCGGACTTGACAATGTGAATAGCTTGGTTGTAGATTCGGTAAACGTTGCTCCAGCCCGTGGCAATGTCGTCTGACAGTCGGAACGAGGTCGAGATGCCCTTTGTCCATTGTGCGGGCCCTTGGAGGCCGCTGGAAGCCGAATAGGGGGTTCCCCATTGGCAGATCAGCATGCCCGGAATGCCGACTCGTTGAAGTTCTTTCCACATGACGGTGAAACGCGATACAAAATCGGTTCGCGGGTCTTTGGGCGCATTCTGCGATGAGTTGGGACCGTCCACATAGCAGTTGTCATCTGAGAGCAGATCATAGTCAGCGCATGCCGCGTAGCACTAGAGGCAAACTCGACAATTATATCTTGTATAACTCACACTTAAGATACTCTGTGTTGAGTGTCTTGAAAAAGTCGGCGTCGGCGGCTTCGTGGCCGAGTGAGCCCGCGACAGGACTCGGGACCTGGGGGTCACACATGCGCACGCCGGCGTCAGAGTACATGGTCCATTTCATGCCTTTGGACCTCGCGAGATCGCTCAAGGGCTTGAGACCCTGAGGAAACGCGGTGGCGTCGATCTTCAACGCGCCCGTTGTAGCATTTCGCTGGCCGTCTCTGGATGCCCAACCGCAGTCGATCTGGAAGTACTTGTAGCCCGCGGTGACGAAGCCTCGGTCAGCCATAGAATTGATGGCGGCTGTGATGCCGGCATTGGTCGGGCTGCAGGCGACTTGATTGTACGAATTCCATCCCATGACGGGCGTCGACTGGAAAGACTGACTCGCGGCCAGAGAGGCGCCCCCGAGGCCGAGGAGGAGGAAACTTGAGATGCCCATAATGAATGTGGAACAAGAGACTTAGACGCCCTAGCTTTGAAGACGTGCAGCGCTCGGATCCTGAAGCGATTCGATGTTACGCATTCCAATCGTCGCCTTAAATACTTTCAAGAGTCGCGAAGTCCAAAATATGGCGGCAACTCACTCGCACGATGATTAGACTTGCGCGCCAATAGAGACGATGGTGGCTAGGACGCTTCAAGCTAGCGAAGCCGGCGCATGGGATCTGCAATGAAACATCGTATTCATGGCGTTGGCCGGGGCTCGGATCTGGAAATGGAACCATCATCTTTGGGGTGCATACGGTCACTCCACGAGACCTACCCCAATCTGATCTAAGGTACCCGCTTCCCCACAGAGTAAATGAAGCCTTTCTAGCGTCCTTAAGTCGGGGTTGGAAAAGCGTTAGTGTCACCTGATGACGATCGACAGTAATCCTCGGGGCGTTAAGTCGCGAACAGTTGCGAACCCGCAATAGATAGCTAATACAACGGTCGGTCGTTACCATCCCGGCGCTTGTGGGAACTCAGCGTCGCGTTTACGACGGGTAACGGCAGTGTGCACTCCTGGGCCCTTCCTTGATGCGCCGCGGGCCGCGGACTAGACCGGAGGGTTATCCATGCTCTCCAGAAATGGCTGACAAGCCGAGCACCGGCGAAGCCGACTCTGGGGTAGTCTCTTTGATTATGATAGCTCATTCCATCAGATCACCCAGCCTGTGGCCTCGTTTCTTTCTCGACACCGGGTATGAAGTCAAGTAGGTGGACTACCGCTTTAAGTAGAGAATTCCCAGTAGAGGAATGTCAAACACAATAGGTTGTCTTTCAAGCAAGGAGTGAATAGAGAAAAAGAACAACCACAATCAAATCATTCAAAGAGAAATGACTGAGCGACTTACTTAATTTCCACCTGAGCAATAGTTATCCAGTCTCGAGGAACCCTCTCGCCCTATCCCCATGCATGATTACTTCAGCCATCTTGGCGCAGTTCTCCAACCCCTCAATTAATTACCCCTCCTAGGCTAATGTCCGATGAACTCGCATTCGCTGCTCCCTGCCTGAGTATCAAGTGACTATTGCTTCTTAAGTGCGATACTTGAACTCATTATTTGAACGCGTCCCAATCACACATCATCCGTCATGCCGCTGTACAAGCCACCCAATCCCGGTGCGCCTGTTCTTTCGCAGTTCTCGCTGAAAGGCAAGGTCGCAGCCGTTACGGGCGGCGCCAGAGGCATTGGCCTCGAGATCGTTCGGGGCCTCGCCGAAGCCGGGGCTGACGTAGCTCTCATCTACGCGACCAGCAAAGATGCCGTTGAGATCGCCAGCCAAATTGCCAAGGACACAGGTGTGAACATTCGCGCTTACCAGAGCGACGTTCGGTCTCGAGCCTCAATTGCCGCCACGGTGGATGAGATTGTTCAAGACTTTGGGCACCTTGATGTCATGGTTGCAAACTCTGGCGTCTGCGCTGATATCCCCAGCCTTGAGTACACTGAGGAGACATGGAAAGACAACAATAGTGTCAACCTTGATGGTGTCATGTGGACAGCGCAGGCTGCCGGGAAGGTCTTCAAGCAACAGGGGCGTGGCAACCTCATCATTACTGCGTCAGTCAGTGCGACACTGGTCAATATTCCCCAGCGACAGGCTGCCTACAACTCTTCAAAGGCAGCCGCCGTACACCTGGCAAAGAGCCTCGCGGTAGAATGGGTAGACTTCGCAAGGGTCAACAGCGTGTCTCCGGGCTTTATTGAGACGGAGAGTGAGTGCATGGCTTGCCCTCACCTAATTCTGGAACCAGTGCTGACTTGGATTAAGTGTTGTATGTTCAACCAAAAGAACGCTTCGATAAGTGGATGGAGATGATTCCCGGCAAGCGAATGGCTGAGACATCTGAACTCAAAGGCGTAAGACAGATTGCAGTAGTCACACGGCCGGTCTACGTTTGCTAACCACGAATAGGTTTATGTTTTTCTGGCAAGCGATGCATGCTGCTACATGACTGGTGCTGATATCATCGTTGATGGAGGGTATACCCTGACATGAAAAGACACACTAATGAGTACATCTTGAACCTTTGGTCTCTTTACCCTGCCCGAAAGGAGCCGCTAGTCTCAAATTGCTTGGTGCTTTTCCCCAGATAAAACCGCATTTTCGCTGGTCCCAGTGATCTCATTCCCGTGAGCAACTCGCTGAACGTGTGCTTCCTGTCTATCGACGTATTTCTTGGGCCTTTTACTGGCAATCGCGTCCTTATCGCCAATAACGAAGAGAGGAGGGTTGTTGCGATAGTACTCGTCGAGGTCTTCGAGTGTTCGGTTTGCTAGCATGCGTGTCAGACGAATTTTGACCGAGGTACCTCCAAGCTTGAATTTGGAATTGGCCTTTACCTGTCTCAGGATAAAAGAGGTAGATGACAGGCAGAAACGCAGCATTTAAGACTGTAAACACGATCCAAAACTTCCATCCCAAATCCTGGATTCCGATTGGTGTGATTTGGACAATCACATAGTTCGTCATCCTGAATAATGTCAGCTGAGTTAAAACAGAACGATCAAAGACTTGATGTACCAATTGGTGGCTGTAGCCACTGCAGCACCTTTTGTTCGCATGGCGATCGAGTTGATCTCTGTAGGGTAAAGCCAGGGAACACCCAACATTCCCAGGCCGAAGGCCATGAAGTAGAGGAAGAAAAAGACAATGGATCCCTCTGATGCTCTACGGTTTCCTCCCGGGCCACCATACCTGAGAAGAATCGTGATAACGAGAAACGCTAAGCCTTGACCGGCAGTAGATAGAAGCATCAGTCCACGTCGTCCCCATCTCTCAACTAGGGTGACGGAGACACATGAGAAGATTAGATAAGTCAGTGAATTGACAGCGGTTAGAAGACGCGCCAGCTCGTTTGATAGGCCTACCGCAGAGATCAAAACGGCCGGCATGTAGTAACTCATGATGTTGATACCTGCATTCAACGATATGTCAGAGGCACTTGGCGCCATCCCTTCCAGAACCAAGATCCAACTTACCTTCAAATTGCTGCATAAATTGCGTGCCAGCCCCTAAAATGATTCTGCGCAGTGGTTTGGTCGCACCAGGATGAGGCCGCAGCAGATCTCTCCACCGGATATGATGTTCTCTTTCGTAGTCAATACTGAATCGTATCTCTTCCTTCTGCGAAATAACGAACGCATCGTCTTCTGATTTCGCCTCGAGACAGGCAAGAATCTGTGTGGCCTCTTTCTCCCGCCCATGTGACATAAGCCACCGGGGCGACTCGGGCAGCCATGGAACGGTGGCGAATAGCGCGATGATGAAGACGAATTGGAAGGCGAGAGGGAACCTCCACGCGACAGCACCGCCTGCGTATGACAACCCAAAGTTGATCCAGTTGCAGAGGGAGAACCCGACAATGTTCATCATCATCTCAAACATGACTAGCTTCCCACGCCAGTGAGCGGGAGCTGTCTCTGTTTGCCAAATCGGAGCGGTAGCCGTGTTAACTCCGTTGCCGATTCTGTTGTGTAGACATGAGCATGGTTGTGCTCGTCATGGAACGAGCGAGGGCATTAGCTGATACTTACCCTAGCACAATGCGCCCAACAAACATCTGGGCCAAGCTATAAGACGATGCCATCAAGATGGCGCCGATGCTCATGATCGCGGTACCGATGAGGATGGACTTCGTTCGACCCAGTGATTCCCCAATAGTGAATGCCAAAATCGCTCCGACGAAACAGCCGATGTCGTATATTGCTGTGATTGTAGATAACATACGGGTCTTCTCCGGGCCGACGAGGTCATGGAGCTCGAGAAAATCGTCAGTCACAATGACGCCGCTGAAGACTTTGCTCGTGTTAGCATACGGCTCAGACTTCAGTAAAATCGCTTACCTGCTTGGTCATAGCCGAACATGAGCATGTCTACACTGCATGCAAATGTAATCCAATAAGTAAGCCATTTCCCCTTGAGCCCAAAATATGGCGCTTTGGCTACAGCGGTGACCATCTTCATTGCATGTGAAGTGGTTGTCCAGGGGTTAGTGAGATCTCGTATTAAATCTGTTCCTGATCAATACACAGGTCTCCACGTCTTTCAGGAAGTTTGATATGAATTGGAATTTATTGAAGGTGCATCCAGGTATTAGAACTGATCCTCGGATTACATGACCCGGGGGAACGGCTGACAAGGGTGTAAGATGTGGTCCGATTTCCTCTCCGTGGGGTTACGAGATCTGCGTCACTGGGAGTCTAGAGTAACTGTATGCCCAGGTGTTCATGATATCCTATTGGCACCGGTTAAATGGGTTTGGGAAGATCGGGGTAATCATTTCCTGGTCCCCAGATTCACTCGATTGTGATTAAGATGATTCCATCTATTTTCCACATCCGATCACTCTCCCCATAATCATTCAAACCTAGCGTAATGAACGAGGTCAAAGGCTTTCAAGAGAAAATGGAAAAGAAGAGTTTTTTCACTCAAGACTGGAGGTAAAGTTGAGCCGTCTGAGATGCCGAGAGCTGATGCGCGACAGCGATCATGCACGGGAGGCCGAAATTGTTTGTGGTCGCTGTGCCAAGGAGGAGGGGTATTGCATCTCCTGACCACCATGCAGCCCAAGGGTGCCATAAGAGTCCAGTGAAAAAGGATTAATTTCGGATTTTCTACTTTATGCCATGGGATTCTCACTTCTACAACCTTCGGTCGCAGTCTCAAGGATCTTGATGCAAAGCCCCAATCGTGCTGCAGTCCCTCTGACCAGTCCTCTTCTACCTTAAGTTACCGTATCACTGTGCTAACAGATGTTTGTTCATCCATCTAGGGTGGGCGTATGTACCTACTTCACGGACCATTAAACACTCTTTATATGTAACGGAAAATACTCATAATAAATGCTGCCATCTTCGGAAAAAGGTCGTTCATTATCTGAGCTTTATCTTCTCTTAGCTTGACGTAAGGTAAGGTAGTTAGAGTAAGGCATCACAAAATTGTCACTTGATCAAAGCTAACAGCCTTAGTTCATATATACATCGTGCCAGTATATAAGTAGATAGGCAGAAAAGTAGGTACGTCGCCACTGTGAGTCGAATACCATCCAGAACTTGGGAACTATACGATTGGCGACTTTAGTGATATAGCCCTTTTTAGCAGTCGGAAGAGTTGAAAGAAACGTTCTATTAAAACTACGTTGAGGTTAATAAAACTTTGTGTTATGCGCGCCGTGTCTACTAACGCTATTGAACTCCATTAACCTTACACGGCACACTAAGGTTCCAAAGTCAATTTTGAGTGAGGCCGCAACCTTTTGGATCTTAATTGCGAGAGTTTCTTCAAACGTTGGCAACCATCGTAGGCTGTGGACACACATATAGTCGAGAGCTCTACTGCCTAGAACTTGAAGAGTGCCAAATTCTTCCAAATCTCCATCTGTCTCAAAAGTCCACCCCGCTTACAGCGATCAAAAGTCGATAACCCCCCCCCCCCCCCCCATACCAAATTTGCATTAGAAATCATCTCTCATACCAGGCATGGATCCCGCACAAACTTCCGGCAATCCGGCAGCCACCAATGCATCAGATACTGTCTCTCTTGCAGTAGACAGGGAACATCCTCTAGTAACCATCACGAGCCTACCAGACGAGGTCTATCACTTGGTAGCTTCAAATCCTTGTGAGCATTGCACAGGTTGTCTCACCAACCCAGACCAACCAAGCCACACCGATGGCTCCGAGCTTTTCAATCCCTGTCTTGTTGACACTCACTACTCCGTACCTCTATCCTTCCTGCGTCCTGCGTTAGAAAGCGCTTTTGCTGGTGTACACGCTCTTTGAACGTCCCGATCTCGCCAAACACATCAAGTCATTCTCTTTCAGAGAAGTCCAACCTCAGGCAATGGATATCCCAAAGTTTCGCCGTCCGAGAAGTCTTAAAAATTTTACGAACCATGCCTCTCTTGGCACCTATGCACTGAAGCCGGTGGTAGAAATCGACACAAGGTTGCGGGGCATGCATTTCCTCCGAGGGACAGCTATGTGGCACCAGTGGTTGATGCTGCAAACACCAGCCCTAGACACCGTATCAGTATATCATCAACACCAACTACATTTTCCTGAGTACCCAGACATCGAGAAATTGGCTTTTATGGGAATTCGGCGCAACATGGACATTCCCACGATGCTGATGTTCGACAGCTGTTCATATGTCCCTCGTTAAGTTTACCCGCATATAACCGGCTGCTACGGATGCTACGGGCCCCCCGGATGGTCTTTCGACAATAGTCGCAGCTTGCGTGATCTTGCAATCGATTGCATGTTCATACGCTGTGGCGGCATGGAAGGGATACAGTATATTAGCCACGGCCACATGGATCGGGTGGCGTGCCAAAACCTGAATGACTCTTCCGTGAGCTATACAATGGTAATGACCTGGTATCATCGCTTCCATCTTCCTCGCGATGCTTATCTCTTCGGGGTGGCTTCCGAGCCGTTTTCTTAGTTTACAATGTACAAGGACTGCTAGAACGTATCAAAAGAGGAGAGCTTTCCCAGTTTCGTGCCTTACACATCATCACCGAAACCAACGCGGTAGAAATGAGCCCTGAGGAGCTGGTGATCAGACGACAACTAGAGGATTTGGGAGTGGACCTCAAGTTTTATGAGCAAGACATACTGCACGGTGTGGATTACGCGGTCCTGGAAGATGAAGGCTGGACAGTAAATGATAAGATTGGAGGTTCGCTTGACTTTTAATTCTCGTCCAAGGAAACATCGTCTCGAGTCTTTGAGCCCCGAGAGATCGCACGTTATCGAAGCTATGCACTATTCGAGAACATAGTATGGTACTTTATTTGTTTTTAATAAGCAGGTATCTCCAGACCATCTCAATAAGTTCAAATTATCGTCAGATGGTAAATGAACATTTTAGGTGTCTAGTGATTTCACATGGCACCGCTCAGCCTGGCTCGGTAAATGTCACTGTTTCCGACCTCCTCTACATTGCTCCTTAGTCACGCCTTTCCCGGAGAACATTGCTCTAGAAAGCAGCAAGACCACCGAGAGCAAGCATGCCAAGGGCACCCATAGAAGCCATAGCAGGAGCAGCACCAGCCTGAGAAGCAGTGGTAGCCGCGGCAGCCGTGCTGCTAGCGCCGGCAGTCGGTGTGGCGGTGATCGAGACGGAGGCAGTCGCGTTAGAAGCAGCAGTCGATGCAGAAGCGGCGGCAGATGACAGAGATTCGATAGCAGAGGAAACAACGGCGGAGGCAGAGGCGGAGGCAGAGTCGACGGGGGGAGCGGAGGCGCCGCCGGTGACCTCGCGGCAGAACTTGCCGGCGGCGGGGAGGAGCTGACCTGTTGTTGAGAGCAAGTGTCAGTCATGGTGTTGAGGCTGTTGCCTGGAAGATTGAAGGCGTGGAGCCTGGTAGATGTGCAAAACAGAAAAAGACTAAAGTGAAGTTGACGTACCAATAGCAACGTCAGAGCCGCAGGCTTGAAGGACGCAGTTGACGCCGACGGTGTAGATGCTGCGGTAGTTGTCCGCCTCGCAGATGCAGGCAGAGTCGTCAATGCTGCTGCACTTGGTGCCGTCCTTTACGGCCTTTGTGAGGCACTCGATGGAGCACTTGGGGACGACGTCTGTGAACTTTTGTTGGGCCACGGCAAGGCCGGCGGTAGCCAGGAGGACGTATGAGCACTTCATCTTGAGGACTGTGATGAGGTTTACGGCTTTTCAGACGACACAAGAGACAGACTTTTTGGTGATGCTAACCAAGGAATTAGGAGACGAGTGATAGGCGCGGAAAAGAGAAAGGAAATCTCATCACGTCTAGCTCTTGCCGGAGGTACATACGATGTTATATATGTACAAACACATAGGGCCTTCCAAGTCCATGGCTACCTTGGAGGGCAGGCCATGTTTCTGGGCAATGTGAGAGTCAGGCCTCTGCATGTGGCGTCCGCACGCGAGGTAGTTCGACCCTCCCTCACTCCATCACCAGCGTTATTAGAATAAGGCGTTCGTGTTGAGTGATCCGATGGTGCATCCAAAGCCAGGGTCGGTTAGATGGTCCGGCCAACTTGACAAGGGGTTGTACCTCTATGCATGGCAGCCATGCCAGATCAGGATGCTCGGTTAGAGCTCTCTCGCTTCATTCAGGTCGCGTCCAGGGCCTTTTTGACGGCGAGGTGGAGAGGGGGACGCTAGCTTGGCCGTTGGTGAGAAGTGTCATTGGCTGGAGGGGAGTGAAGAGATTGATAAAGGTTGCAGAGGAGGCGTGGGGTAGGGGACGAAGAAAGTTATCTGATCCATCAGATAAGATTGGATGGCGTCGGCGCTCTCGGTAGGCCTAGGCAAGTTTTCAGCTTTGGCCCTGGTGTGCTCCAGCTACACCAGGTTAGTCCCAGTCCCTCATGGATTCCCCTGCCTTTGCTCGGTACGTGTTCCGATCAGTGAGCGCTTTTCCATCTCGTTGGTCATATTGACGATGTTGGTCCATGGTAGGCAAGGAACTTTTGCTCAGCCCGAGGATGAGCTCGGGAAGACATGTGAAGGGCTTTCAGCGTGGTCAAATCGTGTGTGTTTCCGCTCCCTACAACTTAATGCAAAGCCACTATAGGTTGTACTTCGATTCGCAGTGAGTCAGGTTGATCAAGTGAAATCATTGCATTCTTTTTCTCTCGCTACATGATGGTCTATAGCCTGCGATAGTATCCAGACAAATGTGATTCTTGGGCAACTTGAAGTTCTCGTAACTGGAGAGAAAAGGCTAGTTCGGTCTTCGGCGATGAAAACATGCCAGCAAAGCGGAGAATCGACAGGGGTTGCGATGTGCGCCAGGTTCAGGAGCTTGACGTGACGAGGTCCAGTAATAAATATGTAGGCTCGGCCGATTTGCTCCAATTCGGACGACAGCACGTGGACGGTGGATGAATGGAAGCGCAAGGTATTATGGACAAACTTGGGCATACCATCAGCGAGAGTTGAACTTTTGGTTATTGGCTTGCACCTCCACGAGAGGTAGACACCTGTGCTGGCTGGTCTCCTGTCAAAGTCTCTGATTTATGATCAAGCTAGGGCGCTCTGAGGACCTTAGGAAGCAGAAGAAGAGTTTTTGGTTGAAGAGTCCTTATATGATGAGAATTGGCCTTGAGCAAGCTGGGTTTAGCGAGCAACAGACGCGCAAGGGAGGGAATTGATTGAGAAGAATTCTTCCTTTAGAGAAATTCCTAAGGGATGGCTAGAGACGCACAATGTGGCTGAAATGTCAGGTAATCTGTGGCTGTGGCTTTGTGGCTAAGCTGTCATCAGCCACATGACGGAGTATCGTCCGGCCTTGCCTGATTCTTCCACTCCGGACGATTCCGTCCCGTTGAGCCGGCGATTGGTGCACCATTGCCGCGGTACGTACTCACCGAGTCCCGACAAGTGGCCGATAACGCAATCGTTTTAGAGCGCACACCTTCCGCGGGCAGCAGCAATTGACCAAATGGAAGGAACCTTGCCCTGCTGCTGCCCTGCGGGAAAGAGTCATCGCAGCGAGGGAAGCAGCAGAGAAGTGGGCCCGTCGTCACGTTGGCCCGCAGACCTGGAACCCCGCCAAAGCAAAACCTGCCCCTCCATGGCCGATTTTTAAACCCCGCGTCTTCCCCTTCTGATTGTTTTTGTGAAGTTATCGCAGACCGACGTTGCGATCGCAGCAACCCATACTTTGGACAATTCGCTAAACAAGTTGCTTGTTGCTATACACACATTCTCTCATTCTCTCGCACATTTCAATCCATACCGGACGCCATGGCTACGATTGATATCGTTCTCGGCGCCCAGTGGGGGTAAGCTGTCAACATTCTCGCCGCCCAAATTTGCTCTACCTTTTGCTCTACACATACATGCGTCTTCTCACCTCACAATATCCCGCTTCTCTCCTTTGTCTATCTTGTGCTATTGCACACTGGTTACATTTCTCAATCTCCGGCCAGCAGAGTGATACATGACAGACAGGGACCTCAAGGGTGTACACGTATCGGCCGTGTATGCGTATGCTCTCGATGGATCGCGACACATCGACAAACATTCACCTCTGCTGCGCCATTGAAGACCTGCCGCAGAACTACGAACTAACATACTGCGCTCAAATAGTGACGAGGGTAAGGGAAAGCTGGTCGATGTGTAAGCTATGCCCATTGACGCCCCCGGGCCCCTCTTCTGACATCCGCGATATAGCCTCGGACAAGACGCGCAGATTTGCGCCAGAGCTCAGGTTGGGTTTTTGGTACCTTTTGGATAATCAATGGCATGCTGATGGCCCTAGGGCGGACACAATGGTAGGAGTCACTCCAACTCCCGAAGCCATCGCGACGTGTAGTATCTAACCCGACCTCCAACAGCCGGTCACACCGTCATCGTCGATGGCGTCAGCTATGACTTCCGTACGTGTTTATGTCCTCGCAACGCTCCTTTGACCCCCTTATGCTGATCCTCACCATCTACAGACCTTCTTCCCTCTGGTCTCCTGCACCAAAAGTGCATCAGCCTCATCGGATCCGGCGCCGTCGTCCACGTCCCGACCTTTTTCAAGGAGATGGCCGATCTCGAGGCCAAGGGCCTGAAGAACATCCGCGAGCGCCTCTTGGTGTCCGATCGCTGCCACATCATCACCGACTGCCACATCCAGGTCGATGGGTTGGAGGAGCAGGAACTTGGCGGCAACAGCATCGGCACCACCAAGCGCGGTATTGGCCCGACCTATAGCACCATGGCTGCCCGCAACGGTATCACCATCAGCGAGATGTTCGACGAGGAGCTCTTTGAGCACAAGCTTCGCCAGCTCGCTCAGGGTTTCAAGAAGCGCTTCGGCGACCTTCTTGTCTACGACGTTGAGGACGAGATCAAGCGCTTCAAGCAGTACAGAGAGGACCTCCGCGTAAGTTTCCTCGCGACGTTGAAATGCCGTATTGGTGACTAACATGCCTCCATAGACCTTTGTTGTCGATGCTGTCCCCATCATCGCCGACGCTCAGAGGAACGGGAACAAGATCCTCGTTGAGGGTGCTCAGGCTGTCATGCTTGACTTGAGTACGTGAATACTATAGCATAATAATTATGGATGCCTTGCTAATCTTGATAGACTTCGGTACTTACCCCTACGTTACATCATCCAACACTGGCCTCGGCGGTGTCTTCACTGGTGTAAGTTGAAGTAATCCTTGAATGAACAGACCAGTGCCCTGACATGTCACTAGCTCGGCCTCAACCCCAGAAAGATCAACAACGTCGTCGGTGTCGTCAAGTCCTACACCACCCGTGTCGGTGGTGGCGGTTTCCCCACGGAACTGCTCAACGAGACGGGCGAGAAGCTCCAGAAGATTGGCCACGAAATTGGAGTTTCCACCGGCCGCTCTCGCCGCTGCGGCTGGCTCGACCTGGTCGTCATCAAGTACTCGCACGACCTGAACCACTACACCGCTCTCAACCTTACCAAGCTCGACATCCTCGATACCTTCCCCACCATCAAGGTCGCCGTCGGCTACAAGAACAAGCACACTGGCGAGGAGTTCCCCTCCTTCCCTGCCAACATCAGGGCCCTTGATGACGCTGAGGTCGTGTACGAGGAGCTCGAGGGCTGGAACACGCCCACGACGGGCGCCAAGACGTACTATGACCTGCCCAAGCAGGCTCGCGCGTACGTTGAGTTCATTGAGAAGTTTGTTGGTGTCAAGGTTGTCTGGATCGGCACTGGCCCCAAGAGAGAGGACCTTATCTTCCGTGGATACTAGATCCAGGTGCCCCTGTGCTTTAGGAGGAAAATGAACCCAGAGGGGTTGCGACATAAAAGATGAGACGTTGAGTCTCTCCATGGAATTATTGATAGAACTTCCATTTGCACCTGAAAACAATAGATCGCACACAAGACCACAATTTTCGAGACTAGCATCTACAACGAGCTTTTGCCGCTCTTACAATGTCACATCTGATATATTGGCAGCTGTGTGTCAAGCACCGACAGATTATCCGTAACGCTCCAGAGGCAACGGATTGGGACAGTGACTCACATTTCCCTCAACCGCACTGGCCAAATCCTAATGCCATCACCACAATCTTTTCCCAACGGGGCCGAGGAAATTCGTATTATCGACCCCAATTACACGGTCTACCCCCGACATCGGGAGGGGCTGAGGCATTTAGCCTACCCCTCGGCCCCCCCTTCTCAATTCCGCCGAACAAAGCAGCTAGCAAATTTTTTCACATTTACTCCAAATTGGGAGGTCGCCATTGGCCCGCTGCAGCAACATCACAGACCTCCAATCTGCCAGGGCAAAAACGTCAACCACACCCGCACAGTTCGCAACGAAACTTGAAGCCCAAACTGGGCGCAGCTGGGCACAGACGAGCATCAAAGATGTTCTGAATTGTCTGGCCGGTTGGCCCAATGGCAAGGCGTCTGACTACGACATACCGTGGAATCAGGAGATTGTGGGTTCGACCCCCATGCTGGTCAAAATCTTTTGCCGGGTTGCCTTTTGGTTGTCTGTTAACACAAGGAGCGTTCCCGACGCTTGGTTGTGGGTTGTCTTGTGTTGTCCTTGTTCTCCTTTGAGTCTTTGTCATATACTGGCCCTGTTTAGATTACCCCAATGTCACCTCTTTCACCCTTTTCAACACAGCTTCAGCATGTCTCTGAAATGGCCATGGAGTTTCCTTTGTCTTAAGCGATGAGCTTGTTGTTTGATGCGTCAATGCCGACTACATACTGAATCCATCGTCTTCCACTGAGAAGTGAGTGAACGTAACCGGTGTATCTTCAGTCTCCTTAACTGAAGCCTGAGCAAAAATGCCCAGAATGGGTCCCGTGAAGTCCCGGGCATCAAGATCCTTGACCGGAACCACCCCGATCTCTTCCCAACTGCAATTATCCAGGTTCAGACTTTCGCTGCCAAAAGCAGCAACATCCTCGTCGAGCAGTGCAGCATAGAACTTCCACTCAGTCTCCGAAGCTTGGATCTTGAAATTGACCCTCCGTGTCTCGTTCCCCAGAGGAAGGGTTTTTGAGAAGACTTTGTCGAGGCCAGACGCAGAGTTGAAGGCATGGCAGACGATGGCCTCAGCATCAGAGTCGAACGCTATTGAGACGTGTCGGGCGCTGTCTCTGTACATTGCCAAACCTGCTCGAAGCCCCTTTGCTGACTTCATGTTGTCGTCTAGCTTGAGAGAAGCAATGGCGCAAGTTGCCAAAGATCTTTGCCTTCTCCCGAGAAAAGTGCAAGTTCCTGTAGGACTTGAGAATCCGTTGAGGCTTGGCAAGAGTGTAACTCTGTTTTCGTCATCCTCAGAGAGCCGGTACTTGGAAAAGTCGGGATCCCTGATCAAGACATCCGTGACACCGGCAGGTGGTTTCAAAGCTTGTACATCCAAGCTCGACGCAGCCTCCACAAACCCCCTCTCAAACTCCATCTTGGGCTGAGTTATCCTTGGCCTATCCCCCTCAGGCCACTCAACAGGCGTCAGAAAACTCTCACGCCCCAAGGCAGCGCATCCATCACCATCCCTCCTGACGCCGAGCACCGCAGCCCACCATGCTCCCCTCGCGTCCTGGAACAGTTCCCCGTGACCGATGTTCTGGATGTACTCATCCTTCCCATCCGCCGTCATGATCGGGTTTCCTTCGAAGCTTTCGTACGGTCCCCAAATGTCTCTTGATCTCGCGATGGAAAGCATGTGGTGCTCAAAAGTCCCGCCTTCAGCTACCAGGAGGTAATACCACCCATCGACTTTATACACATGCGGCCCCTCGGTGTCGTATCTCGCGTACCCGCCCCAAATCTCTCGTTGCTCAGAAAGCTGCTTCCCGGTGAGAACATCAACTTCAACTTGCTTGATCGTACAACTCGGCTGCTTTGAGCGGTCCATGACGAAGCAACCCTGGAAATACACGCGATCATCGTCATCGAAGAACAGACTTGGATCGATGCCGTGGAAGTCTACTGATACGGGGTCACTCCACTGTCCGCTCCAGATATCAGAGGTATGAATGATGAAGTTCTGCAAGTCGGAGGATCCATTTGAGGAGCCGCAGTTTGTGCAGACGATGTAGAATCGCCCGCGGTGGTGACGGATGGTGGCGGCGAAGAGGCCGCCTGTTGCGATCATTGTGTGGCCGGTGTCAAGGGTGAAGGAGTTTGTGCCTGCGTTGGCGAGAGTGAGTTGTTCTGGGCGGTTGATTGCGTTGCCTGACGCAGCGAGTTAGCCATGGATTGTTCTATTTTATGCGGTGAATCAATGATATACCTATATGCTTCCAGCTTCGTAAGTCACGGGAAGCGTAGATGGGTAGACCGGGGAAGATGTGGAAGGATGAGGTGACGAGGTAGAAGATCCCATCGACCATGACGACCGAGGGGTCTGGAGCAAAGCCCGGAATGATGGGGTTCTGAAACTCTGTCATGTTTGCCATCTTCAGTTACTACGCGAGCTTCAGATGGCTCCGATAGTATTTTGACTGCTTGTGATCACGTCTCGTGGGTTGCTCGTCACTTATAAGGCCGCCGAACATGACGGGGCATTGTCTCCGTCCCCCGCACCGGAACCCGGAGTTGGTCCCGTTGAGGCCCACTTAGACAATTGACAATTCCCCGCGGAGAATTAGGCATGTTGGGCAATCCTCCGGCTGATGTCGGTCCAGAGAACCTTCCCAGGCCAGCACTTATCTACTCTTTCCAGAACTTCTCATGTCGGATTGTCATCTGCAGAAATTGTGCATTGATGACGAATCGACAGTGAACAGCTTACTTCTGGGCACTAGATCCTAACTCAATAAGCCACAAGGGCGATTTCGCTATGTAGTGGATGACCAAAGAGGTCTTCAATTACTTGCCCACTCCAGAATAGGAAAATCTAGAGGACAGGGCACTTGACCGTCAAAGCCGTTCATTACAATTAGATTGTTTAGCTAGAATGCTTAAATATAACCCTCTCTCAGGCGTGTTTCATCACCTATGCCATGACGCGGTAAACTTGATACTCATCACCAACGCTCACCGGCAGAACGTTAAAGGTAGCATAAGAGTCGATACCTTCAGGCTCAAGAGTCACAAACGCGTGCGCCGCATTCTTCTGCCTAGTACTGACCCAGAACCCGCCAGCCGGGATCCGAACCTCCTTGACCACCGTCTCCGTCGTCACAGTCGTGCGAGCAATTCCCTCATACTTTGTCCGCGCTACTTCGGCACTCGTGATGTTGAATGCCTCAACCTCGCCTTGGAAATCAGATTGTAACGTCTGTACTTCCACGCCAGTGATTCGCAGACGCTCAGCCACATCAGCCCACGCGCGTGAAAAGACATAGGCCTCTGGTCTCGCACGGGTGAGGTTTGCTACCACGGGTGTGGTGTTGAGGAACTGTACAGGAATATCAACGAGGTCTCCCGTCGTCGCTTCGATGAACTGCCAAGTGATGTTGGTCGGCCGAGCAGACTCCGTAACAATGATGTCGTCGGTGCTGGCGATGAACTTTGCGCGCGCGTTTTCCACTGTCGAGAGTACTTCTTCGGCCCTATCAGCAGCCGTCTGAACGACTGTCTCGACCATCGTCAGGCCCGTTGCGACGCGGCGCTGCCAGTGCTGGTCTGCTAGTCCGATGCCTCGTGTCTCGGTCAGGAACATGATGGCTTGGGTCAGTGCAACGGCACTATCTCCGATTTTGGCGTCACCGGTGGTTTCTTCCAGGACGAGATTGTCTGTGCCCGAGGGACCGACGATATAAGGGCCCCATCTGAGACCTCGTCTCTCCATAGCTGCGGCAATGTTGTTCGCGAAGACGGCTTCTGATATGTTCCGGATATCGGGATGGATGTTGGCGTTCTTCATGGCGGAGAACTGGCCGTCTTGGGCATCTACCCATTGCTCGTTGGCCCCAGAGGGTGTAGTAGGGCTATACTCGTGACAATCTACACCGACATGAGGCGCGAAGCTCACCATCAGCTGCTTGATGTCCCGAGTCTGCTGGCGCGCAAGTTTCGTGTGGTCGCGGTTCGGGTCGAAGCTGGTCGCAAAGTATCGTTGGAAGTACGCCACACCGTCCGGATTGTATCTCGGGAGCATCATGATGTCGACTTTCTCAAGGATTGAAGCCGCCCAGGTGGCATTGGCGTCGAACCTGCCAAGGAGGGCGAGCAGGGCCTGGTCACCAGCTGGTTCGTTTCCGTGGACGCCGCCTTGCATCCAGATGCGTACTTTCGAGGGTGCGCTAGCATTGCCGTAGGTGTTCTGGCTGGTATCCGTCGGGACGCCTTTTGAGGTAGACAGGTAGACGTAAGGAATCGAGCGGCCTTCTTCCGACTTGAAGTCGGGGCTGTGGTAGGTCATCCACTCATTGCGCGCTGCGAGAGTTTGGAGGAAGTAGTCTGCCGATCATAAGTCCTTAGAGTTGGACCGCAGAGTTAAGCATCTCAATTCAATTCGACTCACCGAGAGTGGCCTGGTCTGTCGGGCCGCTCGTGCCATTAGCAAAGGTGGCCGGGACGCCGTCCGGGTTGGCGAAAGCGGGCGAGCGCAGGTCAACATCTTCAACTTCTGGGAAGTTCGCCGCTACTACTTCGCTATCCAGGACTACCTCAACCTGGTTGCTAGCATACGTGAGCTGAGCAGCAGCAAGGCCTGCGCGAAGCAGGGCGAAAGCCGCAATCTCTGGAACGTGCATTGTCAAGCACGGAGTTGGTTCCGGAGTTTTAAGGGTTGTTTGAGGTTGAAGGCGCAAGACGATCAGGACCAACGGGCACACACAATGCGACCATGTCTACTATTTTATTGATCCTCACCCGGGCCCTTCGGCCTTCAGCCGACGCCGATAGTGTCGCCAAGGCCTCATTTACCCTGCCCCAATGCCAGAGACGTCATGATATTTCCTCTCGCGGTACGATGATCACGGTACTTGTCCCCGAACTATGCGGAAATAGGAATGTGTTTACCTTCGGTGTGGAGGAGGCCCCTCAAAGTGTGGGGTGGAAAAGTCTTGGAACAACCTCTAAAGCTTCCAGCGGTGTCGCTCGCCAAGAGGTGTTATCTTGCCAAGACCCCAAAGGACCAGGCCGCCGGGCCAAGGAGCAATTGGGCAATCAAATCTATGTTACTTAGCATCTTTACTCATCGATTTACTCTCGTGGAAAACTCTCTTTCGGCCCTTTCATCGGCGAAGTCTTGGTTTTCGACTCACAACTCTCAAGTCGGCAAGACCATAAGTGATATCGATGTCGGAAAGCTGACATGCCACGGATTATGAGACGGTGGCTACGATAAGATTAAGCCTCTTGCAAATGCTCGAAGTCAGTAATAATACAACTTTTCTGTGGTCTGATCTCAATTATGACAATAACATGTCTTCACGAAGCTTTCGGCAAGATCATGGGATCGATATCCATGTCTCAATGTTTCTTCTGACCACACAAATATGATTCTGTCACAGAAAGTGGGCCCACCCCATTGGGGCAGCATTAACTTCACTTACTTTTCGTGACATATTAACCCTAGACCCATCCGCTGGCGATGCGATTTGGGGAGTCTACACCCAGGAGTTTAGTAAGATTGAATGGAAGAATTGTTCCTTGTCAAGACATGCATCATTGCTCCACAGGTTAATAATCGTTTTAAGTCAAGACTTGGAAGCGGACTGATACAGTCATCGAGGCAGTTCCTCACTATGAGTTTTTCGGCTTTTCTATTTCACATCTATCTTCGACTCCAGTCCGCTTCCAGATTGCTTCAACGCGCGCCCAGTCTGTTTCACGACTTCTGATACGTATGACGAGGTCCAAGAGAGCTCAAAATTCTCAGCTCCCGCGGTGCAATGTAAAACGGTTCCGTAGCGTCAAAGTAGTCATTATAATAGTCCTTCGTCATTTGGTGCTGCAGAGTCATCGCACTGATTAGTCAAAAGACCATATACGGGAAGCTACTCCAACTAACCTTCATTATCCAGTCAACTGGCTCTGACCTAAAAGAATGTCAGAAAAACCTCCAACCTCGTTCATGAGGTTAGGCTGAGCATACCATTTCTCAATCCACGTAATCGTACCAGGAGAGTCATGAACTTGATACATCTCGAAGTACATCAGCTCGGACTCTTTCTTCATCTTTTCAATTGTCGGCTCCGCAGCCCGCAGAAATCTCGAGACATCCTGTGGCGCAACGTGAACAGTGACATGAAAGACCGTTGACATGGCGGCTTTGTTCTGCTTGAGTCCTGAAGAACGATGGTAGTCGGATGAAAGCCTGATGCGCTGATTGTCAAAGCTGCGAAGCTCTGATCCCGGGCAGCTCGGCCTTTAAGTAGTCCGCAATAACAGTCGCCCCGAAGATCCGAGGCCATTGCCGACGGTAGCTCAGAGGATGAAACGTCTGATGTCTGACCAGACGTCTAGACAGCTTAGTCAGTACGCAACGGCTTGTTATGCGTTGTACTAATTCGAACTCAATTTGTGATGTCATCTTAGATGCCTAATTCTCTGCTTGGACGAGGGCAATCCTTGTCTCGTCTTCTTAATGACCGTCTTCGAATACTGAGCCAGCTAGGAATTGATCTAATCCATCGAATAGTTTGCATAATAATGCAATTCTGCGGTAGGTGTGTTGAGAAACACATGATCATGGCCTTCTTTAAATTGACCGAAAGGGCAAGAAGGCCCGCGATGGCACAACTGTGCCCTCAATAAGTTCAGGTTGAACGAATACATGTTGCTAAATGGCCTTACTCAGAACATTGCAAAAGCATCGCTAACGGCCCATCAATAACTAAAATATGTCAATAAAGCCTTTAGTACTCTAGAAGAACCGCTCGTATTTGGCATGTCGCCATGGACCTTGAAATACCAGGCAAGGCCGTTAGGTGCAGAACCCGAGCTTCTCAGGACAGTTCCGGCTACCTAACAGTTCAAAAGAACAGAAGGTAGAGTCATGAAATACATGCCAAAAAGTTCAAGCAATGGTGTCACCGCCTTGTCGTATAAGTAGATCGGAACGGGATGCATCAGCGCAGGCGCAACGATCAACAGCGTGCTAGGAACACAGAATGAAACAACATACGCTTAAAGACTCGTGCAATCGGCCTAAGCAGAAGAAACGGTGTTCTCATGCTATTGTTAAGGTAAAGGTATGGAAGACCGAACAGGCTTTGAACCCAATTTGAACAGAAGTACCTTGTGCTGCCTACATGTATGGACATTAAGGCAGGCCCCGACGTAACCTGGCTGGCTAACTATGAGCATCAAAATTATCCTATAAATTTTCAGTACTTTCTTTCCTCTCCGACGTTTAAACATGGAGTTGCCATCAACGACCTCACTTAAGAGACTTGCCATCCATCACCGACCCACCCTGTGTGGCCTCCTCTTACATCTTCCTGCGATCACCGATCAAATCCACCTGTTATCCATTAGATTCACTGCAGATCATATCATTTCAATCCGGTGGTACGGTACAATTTATTCGAAATCTTACCACAAGCCAGCACTTATCAATTCTACCTTAGGTCAAGATGATGCCAATCTCCTTCATGATGGCCATCCTTGCTGGAATCAGGTTGTCCGTGGCCACTGACGTCCCAATACGAGAGCAAGACATATTTCCTTGCAATTGTGTTTTTATTGTCAATAAATGGAATCCTGTTCATGCAGATCACGTTGCTAGCTACGAGTGCTGTTATCTTGCGGGGGGCCATTGGAACGGCACAACATGTCCCCTGAATTATCGGAACCCTCGAGAATTAAGACAATTTTCGAAATGCTGCGAAAAGAATGGGGGATTTGGATGTATCTAGAAATATATGTAGCACCTGTGGCCCAGCTGATCTACGGGCCGAGGAGACATCGAATCTGACAGCGACGCCTTTTTCTCGCATATCGCGAACATTCAAGATCCCACCCCCGATGATCTGCCCTCTGATGGCGAGTAGCTGGCTTTTTCTCTGCTATCATCACTGACTTTCTGTCGGGTCTGTCGCACTTCAGCTAGCCACGCAAACATGAAAACTGCTGCGCTCAACAATAACATGGCACAAGCAGCAACTAAAGTCCAAGAACAAGCCCCGTATTTCGTTGAGATATCGTGCAAGTTTCGTACGTTCGTAGCCAACCGCAAATCTGTACTTCTCGGCAACTCTTTTCTTATTTCCTCGAACAGTGAGAAAATGCAGCCAAGCGCCGATATGGCGAATATGAATGATAAAATCGCAAGAATCGCGCTGGCCAAGGTTGTGAGACGGTTGAGTTTGACAAGGCTGGCAAGTGCAGAAAGAAGACCCAGTCCAGATGTAGCAGTGGCAACAGCAGGCAATGGGAATCCTAGTGTCAAGTCGCGCATTCCTCTGCTTTCTATCGAGGAGGGAAACCCGATGATCATGGGACGGATAATGGCGGCTGGATCATAGCCCGCCGAGCCTCCGACTCTAAGACATCCCTGTGGGTATCTTGGCCTAGATAGAACATGATGTGTGAGTACTGCGATCTTCTCTCAGATAGTTCGTATAAATCTTATCATACTGAACTATTACAAGGTGGGGTGTCACGCTCGTGACTTACCATGTGGCAGCCGTTGCTTGACACCAACCCCAAAGCCCGAAGTCAAGAACAATAGATGGTCCAATTGACCCACCTGCTCCACGTCTGGTCGCCTCTAATGTGAAGATTGACAAACTTGTGTTGGGGACAGATATGCAAGTGGTAAGAAGAAGCCCGAAGGAAGCAACGAGCAAAGCTGCACCGACGGCTGCAAATAGCCGAGGGGACGGCATTGTGTCTAATGTTGGCGAATTGATATCGGTTGGGTGAGTTGAAAACGCTTGGAAAGTCGTGTTATTTTTCGGAATAAACGATTTATCATTTGAAAATGGAAAGATGAAAAATTGTTTGAGGGTTCCGGGACGCTAATATTATGCGAAGCTGATCTCAAGATCAGCACCTCAAATTGACACTACCCGCCCGGGCCTAACTACGTTCGGAGTTTTACTTGAGCAGAATCGACGACGTTGTCTCATTCTAGAAGAGCTTTACTCTAAAATCTGACTGCCAAGTTGAGTCTTCGGCTGTGTATAAGTCTCTGATGTCAATAGCCGCTGGGCGTGCCCTACTATCCAATCATTGTGAGACTAGATACGGTGCGGAATTGATCACTGCGACTAGCAACGATCTAACGTAGCAAAACCATAAGCGCTATCCGTCATCCAAGCCTTTTGATCTTCAGAGGATCTGAGTGTGAGATCCATCAAGGTGGTCTTGCGACTTCATGTCATTGTCCCTCTTACCGTCATGATGCGCATTCGGGATTGGAATTTTGGGCTCTGCCATGCGCGCAAGGAGCCGCAACATGTATGCTGAGAGTCTTGAATTCCCGCACACCTTGCTTCCTTGACCATACTTGGTTTTTCAAGTGGTCCTCAAGTCATTCAGCACCTATTGCTACGATCAAGTCATTAACTTTCCGCCGTCCTTTTCCCGTATTACATGGGTCACCATCTCAAAGCCTTGCAGCGATAGCTTTCTCGCAAAAGGTGATTTTGAGAGTGGGCATATCAGACAAAAAGCCAAGTACTGCTGGGATTTAAGATGCGATGAAATTCCTGGACCCAATACAAGCCCTACTTGAATGTTGATTCGGCGGCAATATGTAAGGTTGTTGCGCGATATGAAGTTAGCTAGATCTAAGGTGTATCGTTGCCTTCAGAACTGCGAAGTTGATCCTCAACACGTTACCAAACGTCAGCCCAATATCGACACCCAGAACTTGGGTTAACTTCCTGCGGTGTTCCCCGTACTTCAGGTATGATAGCCCTGGGAACTTCGACTGCACGCATTTATCACGTGCTTTGAGTGCGAGTACTAGAAAGATGGTCCAGCCCCTCTGGTCTTTCCCAGATTAGTTATACCCATCGGCAAATTCTCAGCTTTATGTGCTTGCTGATGTGCTCAGCTGAGTCGTCTTTCATCAATATCGTAACAAAATAAGTAGTGCACCCCCCTCCACTTTGTGTGACCCCTCACGGGATAGGCGAGGAATTAACATTCTCGTGACATGTTCTCCAGGGGTACGTTGCTAAACTTGGCAGGTCGCCTTCCGGTTCATCCGTTCCACCGAGACCGGGTAGCTTTCGGGGCTCATAACCTTCTTAGGCCACCTTCGAGCTTCTTCTCCGGAGTGGTCGGGTTCAGTAATAATCAATCAAGGGCTTCAGCTTTTCTTCGAAATAAGAATGTAACTAAAGAAGTACCCCGCACGACGTCCCCCACAATCGCCCGGTGACAGTTCCATTACGCCAAGTTGCCAAGCTAGGCCAAGCCAAATCTCCAGCTCTTTGGTTCAATTTCCCCAACTTCTCCCTGTTAATCCGTTCTTCAAAGTTAACACAGCCTTCAAAGGCCAAGAAAGAAGGAACTTTGGACGAAACGAAGCGTTTCTTGCGTCGTTTTTCCATCGTGAAAACTCGGAACAGCATTCTCAAGCCGCGCGCCACCCCTTTCCTCGCCATCATCTCGGCGAAAAGACCCTTTTCATCAATCTGCGAGTCAGTCCCGCTGCTCGCTTAGCACCCATGGCGATAGCGAAGGAAGGTGCTTTCAGCGCTCCCACAGCCTCTGGACCTTTGGGTAGAGGGGGCACCCCAGGGAATTCCCGTAAGTTTAATTGCTTGGCACGCGATCCACTTCCAAATCCATGGCATGAAGACTGCGTGCCTGAGCAGGTTGATTAAAGTTGCTTGGAGACCCTTGCTTCAAGCCTCCGAAGAAACGGCTTTTTGAGATGTCGTGACCTATCACGTAACCGCTTGAAGCACACCCTTTCGGGGCAAACCCGCGCGGATGGACGTGCAGAGGCGGACATGTTTGGATTTGGGCGAGCCCTTTAAGCTGTAGACGGACGGTGTTCCTTCCGATGGCAGTTGATCACTTAAAGACCCTTTTCCTTCGTTCTCTCAAATAACTACCGAGGCCGTTTGAGCTAGTTCATTTGATCGCCCTTGAAGAAACTACCTTATTTACACGTCAAAATGCAGCCTACGGAGATCCTCGCCATATTGGCGGGAACATACCAGCTTCTCAACACCTCAGCGTAAGTTGACTTCGAATGTGCTGGTTCAAACTACAGGATTGATCAAGATCTAACACTTGACTTGTGTAGCACACGTGATGGAGTAGCTGTGCCAGACAGAACATACGGTTCCAACCCCGTCGGCATCCTCTCCTACAGCAAGTCCGGCTTCATGTCGGCAACGATCACATCAACAGACCCCGAAGACCGACCCGCAAACCTGACATTTCCCTTCGAAGATTCACAGTCAGACGCCGATTGGGCCCTTGTTGGCAAGCACAGCATCGGTTATGCCGGGCCGCTCAGAATCAGCGACGCATTCCCCGCGAACGCAACCTTTGGCCAAGTCATCCACGGACCCTTGACCGTCGCCAACGTCCCATCTATGGCCGGGGGCAGCCAAGCGCGCAACTACACACTCTATGAGAATGGAAAGATTCTGCGCATCTCTTCACAACGAGACGGCAGCAATCGCGGAGAGCTTTGGTGGAAGAGGCTGGACTAAGGAAAGTCTATGAAGACACCGGAGGTGATCAACGAGCTTTGTCATCGAAGTGCTAGTTCCAAATTTGGTATCCAATGTGCGCGTTTGTCTTCCCATTGCTCCATGTCAGTACCTGTTTGCCCCCTTTTGACCTTCTGATTCTTTTCCTCTCCTGATTACCATACATTACCTTCGACGTATGAACTGAGGCAGCCCGATCTATGACGATGCATCAAGATTCAAGTGGCGAAATCTGGACACCGTGGCCTTCGCCCCTTCCAAATTGCACTTTCATATCAAATAAGTACGCTATTGCGCCCAAAAAGACCCAATTGAGCGAGCGGCATGCGTGAGGAACGAAGACTGCGCAGACGGCGGTGGCGGCGCAGAGAGTGGTGGCGGCGACTGAGGGTGTGTCTGACTAAGACAATTCCAAAACTGAGCAGGTTGTAGCTGTCAGCCTGTCTTATATATCGCTGCGCCCAGAGAAAGGCGCACTTTTCCCTCTAAATCTTCATTTTTCGTCTTCAGCCAGCAATTGTCTATTGTAATTGCTGGCATTTCGAAGTTCCGGAGCATCTTACCGGAACTGCTCCGAGGACCCTCATCATGCCGGTAGGGTTCGAAGCGCTCGGCATTGCGGCCAACATTGTTCAATTTGTCGAGTTTGGATTCAAAATTTCGATCTCGGTAATTGAAACGTATCGCAGCATCACCGAAGATGGCATATTACCGCAGACAGCCGAATTGGAAGAAATGGCTCGTAGTCTGGAACGCAGCTGCGGTCAGTTGCAAGCCGATGTTAAGATCCAAGATGATGCGGAGATGTCTAGCCTCCTCGAAATTTGTGTCAAAGGTTCGCAAGACCTTCTTCGAGAGGTGAGAGGGCTGGTGATCGACAACAACAATCGACGCCCGAGGTGGATGAAAAAGGTCAAAGTCACGATGAAAGCCCGTTGGAAGCAGAGAAAGATCAACGAAATTCAACACAACCTGAATGACATCAAAAAGAAGATTTTTGAGAAGCTTCAGCACATACTGCAGTAAGTATTTACTTACCAACGGATAGTGAAAGAAAGTAATGTACACACTGCTGACCAATGTACAGTGAATACTGCCGTTCTACTTCAGAATACTTATATTCTCTGGGCGATGCTTCAGCAGCTTGGAATACTGCCACAGACGCTAAGCTTGCAAAATTGTCAGAAGACGTTGGCATGCTTATCAAGTCAACGGCACCATTGACGAATGAACTCGAGGAACTTGCCACAAACCTAAAAAAACTTGCGGAAGAAGTGAAACACCAGGGCAAGATCCGAGAGATTCTTAAAAGCCTCAGATTTCCGGAAATGATTGAACGAAGAATCGAAATACCCAAGGCTTATGGGGACACATTCGAATGGATCTTTGAAGAGAGCGCAGATGTCAACTTCGCGTCCTGGCTCCAGAGCTCACGAGGCATCTTTTGGATTACGGGAAAACCGGGGTCTGGAAAATCAACTTTGATGAAGTTGATTTCTGGACATGAACATACTGCAGCACTCGCACGAGCTTGGGCAGACAACAAGAAACTCATCGTTGCCAGCCATTTTTTCTGGGGCATTAGATCCGGTCTACAGAGCTCTCAGGAAGGCCTCCTTAGAGCGCTGCTATTTCAGATTATGATGCAGTGCCCGGACATTATTCATGACGTCTTTCCAGAGAGATACGAGGGTTCAATCGCGGATCTTGATCCGTGGACGATTGAAGACTTGTCAAATGGTTTCAAACGTCTCGGGGCAATGCAGTCACTAAAATATCGCATCTTGATATTCATTGACGGCCTCGATGAATACAAGGGCGAACCCGAGGATCTGATGAAATTCCTCAAGGATGTCGCACAATCACCGGATATCAAAATCTGCTGCGCAAGCCGGCCGTGGCCAGTGTTCACAAAATATCTGGGGAATTCGTCTACTCGCATCCACATGGACCAACTGACAGCTGACGATATGGCGACATACGTGCGAGATGCTCTGGGTCAACATCAACACTATCAGTCTTTGCTCAGAAGCCATGAGTCTGAAGCCATTGAACTCATTGAGTCTATCTTGCGCAAGTCAGAAGGTGTCTTCTTCTGGGTTTCACTGGTTATCAAGTCGCTGTTGCGTGGAATGGAGAACGACGATGACATTGGCACGCTACGCGAAAGACTTTCGGAATTGCCTTCTGATCTTGACAAATACTTTCGGCGCATGTTAAGCTCCATTGATCGCGTGTACAGGGATGCCGTATCTGTCACATTTTCCATGCTACTTGTTGCGGACACGGCCATTCCCGCAGTATGCTTTTTGTCCTTCGATACGTACATGAAGGAAATGCGATTGAAACATAGCGATGCTGGGGCTCAAAGGCAAACGAGGACCATGGGTTCAAGAACCAGACCCCCGTTGAGAGAAAGTTGGACCCTGCCATTTTTGCAGATAAATCATCAACAGGACAGAGAGGCTGATGCTAGATCAGAAAGCGGTTGTATCACGGGACGGTCTCTTGTCCAACTACAGTCCCAAGAGATTGACGACAGCCCTGAATTTGCCCAGAAAGTTTTGAGAAAGAAGGAGAACGTCTTAGCACAATGTTGCGACTTGATCCAGTGTTGGGAAGTGGATGGAACACCCACTTTCGGCTCAAGAATTGGATTTCTTCATCGAACAGTCGTCGAATTCCTTCAGCAATCCAGCGGTGATCAGTGGCGCTCGCCCCTTGAACACCAACGCTTTTGGCTTGCGAAGTCTTACCTGGAAGTTGGGCTCAGTAACGCGTCACCAGGTGTCAAGAAGGATTTCACATTCAGGTCCTTACGCACAATTGAGGAAGCCGATACACACGACATTGAGGAGTCTGGTGCCTGGCTCCTGGATCTCTGTGAGTACATTTGGTTAGGTGACGCCAACATTATAATAGTAGAGGGACTTCGCGAAGTGGCTTCTCAAATTTGGGCCAGGATATTTCTCTCACTAAAGTCCGAGGAGTCAGACTTTGCAAAGCCCGATGCTTTGGTGCATCTTGCACTGCACAGTATCATGACAGGATCAGTGCACATAGGCGCCAGCGACCCTCCAGAGGTGGTCTCGACACAATCCGTGGATTTGCAACTACTACGAAATTTCCTTCGCTGGATGGGTACCGAAAACTATGAGGATATCTTGTCTGTCCAGTTCAAGGCTTTTATTGTTAGATTGAGTCAGAATGACTCTTCCTCAACGCAGCTGAAGAATGCCTTTCAGGTTTGTAAGCTGTTGATAGAACACGGCGCAGTAATACATAGCATTCCCAGGCATCTTAGTGCCATTGGAGATGGAAATCAGACAGAAGCAACCGCAGAGGATACAATGGAAAGGCTCCGGCTGCTTGACTACTTTACAGAAGAGGAGCTGTCGAATCTTGAGAAGTCATTTCCGCCTGACGTAAAGCGACGGGCGAATCTTCCCATAGAGGCTGAGCATAATCGAAGGGAAGGAACACGGGAGAAAATGAGCAAACGTCGATGGAAAACAACAGTTCGGAAATTTTCATGTGGCATGCGTTTTTCATGACGCTTCTGTAACCATGCTACTTACCAAGCTTTAAGTAAGGTAGTCGATTAATCTTAATACATTGAATTTTCAGGCATTCGCGCCACTCTATCTAGACTCAGAAGCTCTACTCTCCCTCGATATGGATACCTTAGTCAATAGCCTTCAACAAATATTTGTCCTGCCAGAAACGGTCGTTGGTGACCGATTCATCACGGCGGACAGGAGCAGCCCTCTCCTTGAGGCTCGAAGCAGCCAAGTATTCGCTGCGCTTGACAGCCGCCTTGGCAGAAACATCGCGCTTATCAATGCCTCCGTAAGCACACTTTCCACCGTTGAACGCAGCGTTTGCAGTAGCCTTCCAGATCTCGGTGACGTCCTTGATCATGGGCAGAGTCCAGTAGAGACGGCAGTCGGCCTCCTCGCGGACGTACTGCGCAGGGATACCATCATCCACGTTGTCCCTCAGGATCTGATCGCGGACGTTGACGGCAGCCGCGAGACTGCGGTTCAAGGGCAGGTCGGTGTAGCGAGCAAAAGCGGCCTTTTGCTCGTCAGTGGAGGCGTAGGGAAGGAGGAACTCGGTGTAGCCGTATATGTTGCTCCAGTCGAGGACCTGAGAGCCCTTGATGCCGCCGACACCCTCAATGGGTCCCTCAACAGGGAGACCGCCGAAAGCGACGGACTTGACGCCGCCGTGGAGGCGGAGGAACTCGGAGGCCAGAGTGCAGGTAGAAGCGCAGACACCGTCGTAGAGGATGATAATGTTCTCAGCGGCGAAGGGCTGGGGAAGGCCGGTGAGGTTGCCGTACCCGTGGATCTCGATACCAAGACCGAAGGTGGCGTTGGTGGTAGTCAGCGGATCGTTGAGGTTCCAGCGCATGAGGTCCGTGTAGGAGGTGTTCTGGAAAATCTGGGGCGCGAACTTGTCCTCGTAGGAGGTGAAGGGCTGGTTGGTGAGGTTGTAGTCGTAGCGCCAGTTGAACCAGCTCTCAGCCAGAGAAATCAGGTTCTCATCATCGCTGGTGTAGATGTCCACATCAGCCACAATGTCGGAGACAATCTGGGCCGCGGCAACGAAGCCGTCGCTCTCCTTCCAGCGGGAGAAGCCATCTTGGTCTGTCTCGGGAAACAGCTGGCGGAAGAAATCATAGCCCTGGAGGATGTAGCCGCCGCCGTTTTGCTGGAAGTCGATGACGAGCTTGGTCTTGCCGGCGGAGAGGGCGGCGGTGTAGAAATCCTGGGCGACCTTTTGGAACTCGGCAGGGCTCTCGTTCTCGAAGGCGGTCAGGACAATGACGGCAACGTCCTCGAAACCTTCGCCCTCGAGGTAGTAGCCGGACACAACGCCGTCGCTGGTGGTGACGATGGGTTCAGGGTAACCTGGAAGGATAGGGGTGGAGGCATTGGAAGGGGAGGTGCCGGACGGGGTGCCGGAGGCCGGGCTGAGAGGGTTGCAGAACTTGGCGTAAAAGGAGGGGCCGTCTACAATGCCGGTGAGATCCTTCTTAACCCGTGCATGATTCTCGAAGGTGACCTCGGTGCCGTTCTCGAAAGTGAGAGTCGTGTTGGCGCCTTGGTAGATGTATCTATTAATCATGTTAGTACGTTCCACCAACTCGTTGTTGACGCATCCAACATACCTGACACGACCGCCAGAGCTGAAGTAGCCGTTGCCAATTCCGGTGGCCTGTCCAGACTTCTCAAAGAACATGGAGTTGTAGGCGGAGTTAGCATCACGGTTCCAGTTGGCTTTGTTGACGGTGTCCTCGAGAAACTTGGAAGCCTCGATGCCGTTGATGAGCTTGACTGCGGACGCAGTCTCGGGCGTAGAGATGACCTCCTCTAGAGAAGAGTTAGAATAACCTTCATAGATTCACCATCGTCGAGTCAGAACGTACCGTAGATCTTGATCACTGGCAGAGATGAGCCATCCTCGCTAATGGAGACCAAGCCCCGCTGACGGGTCCACTCAAACACCGCCGTGAGCAAGTCGGGGTAGTACACGAAGTGGCCGTCGTGACCAGGACCGAACACTTCCTCGTAGAGAGCAGACTGGAAGGCGTATTCGCTGGTGTAAACATCGTCGACCAAGTTCTGTCTGATGCTCGAGGCGGCTGCGAAGAGGTCGTAGGCCGGGAAGTCGTACTCTGGTGGGGGATCTGCCTTGTAAGCAGCGTCTAGAGCCAGGTTAGTTCAGGGTTCAGAGATTTCAACAAAATCATTCGGTGTGGACTTACCACTCTGCCACTCGAGGTATGGGAACAGAGAGTCCACAAGCTCAATGGCTGCCTCCTTTCCGAGAGGGACGGAGTTGAGGCAGTCGTAGGCCAACTGAGCCGGTACAGTCGGGACAACTACAGCATCACCATTGTCAGTCTACGTCAATGGGACATCTCATTGTCGGGATTCCAAGTACCTGTAGGAGCACGCGCATGCTGCGAAGCCCAAGCAGCGCTCACGGCAGCACAAGGCTCAGAGCTGTTGCCGGGGACCGTCGAGTTGGGGAACTGCGCGACAGCGAGATCAGCTGCGCTGGCCAGCAAAGCCGGCACGGCAATTGAGGAGCTGCGCATCTTGCCTATTCAACGAGAGTAACACGACACAACTTTTGGCTATCGAGTCGAAAGCTGGGCTGCAATCTCAAGCTCGACAGACGCATCCCCGACCGCCCGCAGACTGCGGCGGCGCGTCTCTTATACCACTCTGGTCTGGCAGTCGAGGAAGACCCCCATTGTAGTCGTCATCCACTTCTCAACGACAATCGACCCGAGGGGCAACCCGTTGTCGTTTTCTGGAGACTGTCGATGTCACCATCGGATGTCGAGTGGGCGTTCATCCCAATCGCATGAGCTTGTATTGCTCTCATCACAGGAGGAGCTAGCTCAAGATGGCAGGTCGCATGTACGAGGTTACCACAAGACTGGGGCGCGACCCCAGTTGCCGCAACTCTTGGCCTGCATATCTGCACCCGAGCGGCGGTAGGTCGGGGAGCAGTGCCTCACTCGTTTTCCTACCGATATTGGACGCGACCGAAGTTGGAAAGTCGTTGACTAAAGATGAATTTCGAAGTCCGTTACTCCGGGTCTGAGTCGAGTCTAAGAAGCTGTAGGGCCTCTTAGAGACTCGACTTACGAGCTCGAGTCAGTCTTAGTCACCCACCTGACTAAGACTCGAAGAGTCTGACAATTCCTATGCCCAAAGTTCAAAAAAGGTAGAGGGGTTTACGCGCGACGGATGGGGGGTTACGAGCTGCGAGACGGGAAGCTACCTTGTTATTAGCACGAAAAGACAAAGATCGACAGCGCTCGCCTTATCTCTCAAATTAGGGGTGATATCCTACCGTTACCGTTGGCCCGTTGGTCTGTAGACCGTTGGGACCTTTGGTCAGCATAAGAACTTTTTTTTCGCTCTAGTTCCGGGTTGCGGGGGCACATGGGAATAACACCTGCTGAAGATAGGTTAGACCGGTAGGCAAAGGTCCCTGGTCCCGCGGCAAACAAGTGCCGTGTCAGTGTCGCAATTCACACCATTGGCAACGGTCAAGGGTGATCTCATCATCTCATCTGTGCCTGGCGATGCTCTCGGCCCGGCCACGCGATAATGGGGAGCATATCTGGGCATTCCCCACCCTGTTCTTGTCCATGTCATTTTGTTTGATTCAGGCCTTCATCGAATTCTGTTGGCATTTCTGTTGTCAAAACAATCGCACAGCGTCGAGGCATGCCAAAAGGTATCATTGGCATAGATGCAATCTGCATGTGACCTCTCAGCTGCTGCCTACCTGTGCCTTAGACTATTTCGTAAATGTTTCCTCGTGACATGCATCAAATCGAATCAGGTCAAAGACAAAAGTCCTCTCAATTAACGGCGGTTTAAACTCAAAGAAGCTAGTGTTTGAGACCCTAGTTTGACTCTTGTTCCGATTGTAGTCGATGATGGGTGTCCTCAAATGAACAATGGTACCAAATACCCAAGGCCAACTACGCTCGCTCGAGTGTTTCTAGAACTCAATGGGTAGTGAAGGTCGATCATGCCTAATGTATCACATGATGCATACTCAGAAGGGCGAAAATAAATTCGGGCTCAATTACAACACTTATGATGTTCGCCAGCATCAAATATAATAGGGCAAGATGCGTTCGAATGACCTGCTCCCATTTTACACATTTTCCTAATCACTTAACAAATAGTAGGTTTTGAGCAGTATTATTCAAATGGACTTCTTTGCACTCTCTACCTTGGTTGACATTCAGACTTGCCTGCTTCATCATTAGTAAAAGAAACGAGTGTCTCCATGCTGGACGGGTCGAATAAAGAAAAGCACTAGGCAAGTCAAAGTTTCTTGTGGAACCACGCAACTCACAATTTTCAATCTTTCTATGGGCAGCTTTTGACCTCGCAACTGTAGGAATCCCTCGATGCAGGACAAGCATGGTGCATCTTGCTAATCCAATATGGAAGATGGAATAATTATGAACCGGGAGCTCTATCGTATGTTTCTTTGACATTGAAGTTGGATTTACGTGGGTCACGTGGGCAATTTGAGTATTCGACCGACGGGATACGAAGGTTTGCAGGGAAGGAAGGAACCCAAAGAAAGTTCGAGGTCGATCATAGTTGCCAAAAAAGGCCCCCAAACTCTATTGTCATAGTCATTCTGTATCGATGCATGGTGGTATATTAAGCGGCTCGCTTTTTCCTGGTATAATTCCATAAACTCCCTAAGCCATCATGGTGTCCAGTCGTAGTATCATGAGCAGTGACGCGACGGCCAACTGCAGGTGTGTTTCGGCGTGAACGTCGCTTACTGAGAAGGGTCAGACTTGGGAACGCTAGGCAACTCAGCCGCGATAGCTTTCGCCTCTTCTGTTTCCTTCTTGGAAGGGCTGGCCTCGGTCTTCTCCTTGGTGGCTGGCTGGTCGTCGGGAGGGAAGAAGAAACTATTGAACGAATGTTAGCAAGACATGTTACTGTGCGAAGGAGTTTTGAGGTCTGAACATACGGAAGGGTCTCGTTGTAGGCTCTGACGTCCTTCATCTCAAAGGTGCAAAAGACAATCTTGTCCAACTTATCGCCATCCTCTCCGTCAAGGAACTCTCTGACAACCTCGACAGCAACAGGAGCCGCCTCCGTGCTCGGGTAACCGTATATGCCGGTGCTCAGCGCGCTGAAAGCGATGCTGCGACAGCCATTCTGAACCGCAAGCTTCAAGCTGGTGCTGTAGCAACCCGCAAGCTTCGCTTCGGAGTCGTCGGGATTGAGCTCGTCGTAGATTGGGCCGACGGCGTGGATAATCTTCTTGCTGGGGAGGTTGTAGGCGCCCGTGATCTTGGCGGAACCGGTGGCGCATCCGTTCAGGGTCTTGCACTCCTGGAGCAGTCCCCGGCCGGCTGCGCGGTGGATCGCGCCGTCGACGCCGCCTCCTCCGAGAAGACTCTTATTCGCGGCATTGACAATCGCATCGACGGCGAGGGTGGTGATGTCGCCTCGAACAACGGCGACTTTTTGGTTATGCGACGCATTGTGGGGGAAGATGGCCTTCGGGTTGGCATGGACCTGGCCGATCTTGTAGAGGAGCTCAACGGTGGGGATGTCGGCGGTGGTGACCATTTTGACTGCTTGTCGGATTGGCATAGGCGAGCTTCAAGGTTGCTTATTCGGGTTTGGTGTCGATGATTTGGCAGGTTAGGAGCGGGCGCGGCGGGCTGCTTTTGAGGTGTTGGTGACAAAGAAGCAGCCGACTGGAAGCAGGAGAGGTGGGAGCCCATGACGAAAGACCCCGCGCTATTCCGAGCTCAATGGGAGCTTGGTCTTTCAGGTTGGTCCAATTGTCGAGCTTTTGGCAGCTTATCGCACTGTTATCGCAGGGGCAGTAAGGTACGTGCCCTTCGCCCCTGTAGGTAGGTACCTAGGTATCTTTGAGGAATTGCTTCCCTAGAATGCCGGGAAGTCGAGAGTGTGAAATGATGAATTCTACTATTCATGATTCAATAGAAATGACTCTTTACCTCGAAGGCGAAAGAGTTTATAGCTTGCCATCAAGGCATTTTGGAAGCTTCCATTCTTGAAAACGCAGCAAACTCGAGTCCTTCGAGGTGCCTTATCGGAAGCCAATCTGACCGATAAGATACGGTTGTTTGTTATCTTATCGGTTCTTTGTCGCGTGTCGCAGGCGCAAGCTGAGCGAGGGACGCTGTGCCAGTGCAATGACCCCTCCTTGGATCCATTTGAGTCATCCCCGCCGCAAAAGAAGACCTCGAGTGTTGCCCCGCCACCACAACCGCACATTTTCCACGCCGTGAACATCTCGTGGAACCCAATTGAACGAATATCGACCATTGAGCGACCGCAAGGTACTCCTGAATCTCGACAAAGCTTACCTCCAATACCACCCTTTATCGCCTACCGGACACCGCTACCATGGCGGACGCTGCTGCGGACCCCACCGCCAAGTTGGCCGAGTCGACGGCCAAGCTCCAGCTCGACGAGGAGACGGGAGAGATGGTCAGCAAGGGCGAGCTGAAGAAGAGACTGGCAAAGCGAGCGAAGAAGGCCGCCACGGAAAAGGCAAAGGCTGCCAAGGATGCTGTCGCAAAGGCTGCCGGTGCTGGCGACAGCAAGCCCGCCGCGAAGCCCAAAGCTAAGCCTGAGGAGGTCGTCCTCGACCCGGAGGCAATGTTCAAACAGGGCTTCCTCCAGGAGGTCTACAAGGAGAGGCCGTCGGGGAATGTCGTGACGCGTTTCCCTCCCGAGCCCAATGGCTAGTACGTGAGCCCCAATGCTTATCTTTGCCACGCCATTGACGTCTTTCCCCTAGCTTGCACATTGGCCATGCCAAGGCCATCGCCGTCAACTTCGGTTTCGCCAAGCATCACGGAGGTGTCTGCTACCTGAGATTCGACGACACGAACCCCGAGAAGGAGGAGGAGAGATATTTCACGGCCATTGAGGAGATGATCAGCTGGCTGGGTTTCACACCGTACAAGATTACGTACTCGAGTGACAACTTCCAGAAGCTGTACGATTTGGCAGAGAAGATGATTACGTTGGAGAAGGCATACGTATGCTACTGCGGTGGTGAGGTTATCTTCTGCATCAGATACAACGTGCTCTGCACTTGCTAATCAGTCACCCTCAGATACCGAGATCAAGCTCCAGCGTGGCGGTGAGAAGGGCGCTTCCCCCAGGTTCCGATGCGAGCACGCGAACCACACCGTCGAAGAGAACCTGCAGAAATTCAGAGATATGAAGGACGGCAAATACAAGCCTAGGGAAGCATTCTTGCGCATGAAGCAGGATATCACCGACGGCAACCCCCAGATGTGGGATCTCGCCGCATACCGCATCAAGACCGACACGCCGCACCACCGCACCGGATGGGACTGGAAGATCTACCCGACATACGATTTCACGCACTGCCTGTGTGATAGCTTCGAGGGCATCACTCACTCACTCTGCACAACAGAGTTCGTCCAGAGCCGTGTCTCGTACGAGTGGCTCAACAAGACCCTCGGCGTTTACGAGCCGATGCAGCGCGAGTACGGTCGTCTAGGTATCACGGGTACCGTCTTGTCAAAGAGAAAGATCCTCAAGCTGGTTGAGGAGAAGATTGTGCGTGGCTGGGACGATCCACGTCTGTACACTCTGATCGGTATCAAGCGCCGTGGTGTGCCCCCGCGCGCGATTCTCGACTTCGTCAATGAGCTGGGAGTCACGACGTCTGTCTCTGTCATTCAGATCAAGCGTTTCGAGCAGACGGTGCGCAAGTACCTAGAACGAACTGTTCCCAGATTGATGATGGTCTTGGATCCCATCCCGGTTGTCATCGAAGATGCCGAGGCTACTGACGTAGAGCTCGCCTTCTCTCCCAAGGACCCCAACATGGGTTCGCACACGATCAAGTTCACCCCGACCGTCTACATCGATCGCGCCGATTTCAGAGAAGTCGACAGCAAGGATTACTTCCGTCTTGCACCCAACAAGACCGTCGGTCTGCTCAACGCCCCCTTCCCCATCAAGGCTACTTCCTACACCAAGGATGAGGCGACAGGAAAGGTCACCGAGATCCGTGCCGTCTACGACAAGGAGACGAAGAAGCCCAAGGCCTTCATCAACTGGGTCGGTACCGAGGGTTCCAAGAAGGTTGAGGCCCGTATCCACAACTCTTTGTTCAAGAGCGAGAAGCCCGACGACGCCGAGGGCGGTTTCCTCAACGACATCAACCCCGAGAGCGAGGTCATCTACCCCGACGCGCTCATCGAGAGCGGTTTTGACGAAGTCAAGAGACGTGCACCTTGGCCTGAGGCTGCGGGTGAGAGCGAGCTCGGCAAGGGCGGACCTGAGAGTGTTCGTTTCCAGGCGACGCGCATTGCCTACTTTGTAAGCTGCCCACGAGTGAAGACTGAAATTTTGACAGACGAACTAACACCCCCACTAGGCCATTGATTCTGACAGTACCGACGAGAAGATTATTCTCAACCGTATTGTGTCGCTGAAGGAGGATGCTGGAAAGGTTTAAGTTACAGCTATCTCCGGATTTGGACGTAAAGGTGGATGGATGGATTTGGGGAGCTTTCGGAGTTGCATAGATGGCGGGCTTGATAATACCAAACAAAATCCCACAACAAGCAGTGTGGTGAATCAGAATCGTTTTGTCACAAAGATTATCGACGGGGTTTTCCTTAAAGTGATTCACTGCACTTCACGCTACGGGTCCTTATATCAACACAACACCTTGGATCGTCGTTGCACTCACCACACAAACCCCCATTACCAAATCATCAGGTTCTCCACGACGGAGTTGCGAATAATACTTTCGAAAGAATGAAGTTCAGTCAGTCTTCTCGGATACTCGGGGTAGCGTTGGCCGTTAGCTCCATATGCCTCGCTGTGCCTCAAGAGATATCGCAGGGCAACCAGCCATCAGCACCGCGAGTTGGAGAGGTGCCGTATGAGCAATCACCTTACGAAGAGACACCCTACAATGAGACGCCACACGAAGACTCGGCGGAAGAACCGTCACCGTACGAGCAGCCAGACGAAAAACCTTCACACGGAAAGCCTTCATATGGACAGCCACCCCGGGAAAAGCCATCATATGGCCACACTCCGTACGGGCGAGACCCAGCCATCTCCATCATAGAATGGGAAGTCGGCAGCCCGGCCCTCTACGCAGCGCGCTCCGTCGACGACCCAGACACATGCCCCAAAGGAACAGGTGTGTATCTCCTTCCGTCCTCCTTATCTTACCCTATCACATCCATTCCACATCATCCTCTCTCTTGCCTTTCAGAATCATCACGCTAACGCCTCTTATAGTATCCTGCAACCTCCCCCGCAACTGGAACTGCTGCACAAGATCCATGCCCTGCTGCGGGCCCGGCTGCTGCGCCCAAGGCTTCGACTGCGTCGACGCCGCCATCGGGGTCTGCTGCTCGCGGGGCAAGAAGCTCTGCGGCGGGATGTGTGTGAGTGGAGAGTGTTGCGGTGTACAGGGCGGGTGTAGTCGGGATGAGAAGTGTTGGATGGGGAAGTGTTATCCGAAGGAGAGGGGTCCTCCGGTCTCTTCGGGGGCCGGTGGAGTTGTGCCGCCGGTGACGGGGGGTGCGGGGCCGGTGAGGGTTGGGAAGAAGAGTGGGGAGGGGGCGGAACGGGGGAGGAGGGACTCGATGCTTGGGTTCGTTGTGCTTGTTGGGGTGTGGGTTGTTGACGAGGTTTGGGGGGGTTCGCTTTGGGGGTAGGGGGTTTGGGTGGTAGGTCGACCGACCGTTGATGGTAGGAAGGGCGGAGGGAAAGGTGTTCACGGAGTTATTGGAGCTTGGAGTCAAGGTCTGATTGGTAGCCGGGCTTCATGGTGTGTTGATGACCTACTATCTGCCAAAACCTCTACTAAAATATTGGACAAGAACCAGTCCTCGACGAGGGTACTAAATCCTCAGGGGCTTCGGTTTGTTGGTGTCCCGGCTATTAAGAATACACGTAGCTCCGCCTCATCCATTGGTGCTTGATTCTCATCACTGCAATTGGGAGAGCTTGAGCATGTGAGAGTATGTGGAATAATGATAGCCAATACTGGGCCGGTGATGTAGATGCCACACGGATGTTGGTGTATCAAAGCTCTCGTCCCTTCATCGCCCTAGACTGAAAGCGTAGACAGATAGAGGGGCCAGCTATTTAACAAGGACTGCCGTCTAATGCAACATGTGACATTCAGGGTCTCTTCATGAGTGTACAGTCAGCCCGACTTACGGATAGTCAGCTATCGTCAGCTTTAGGACCTCTGCCGACTCAAGGGCAACCCCGTTTCAGGGTGTCCCTTGTTACACCGGTTGCCGGATTCGGCTGACCGAAACCTGTTCCTCACTTAAACACAGTTTCTCTTGTGGGTGGATCGTTGCACCGGCGGGAACTCGTCCCGAGGCAAAGAATTTGTTGGTTATCATAATCATGACGGCATTGCTGGATTGTTGGCTCCCCAAAGCCGTGGTACTCGCTGCGTTGGATTGATGACAGACAATCAACATGATGCCTCCAGCGCAGACAAATTCGGATCGGCGTTGGCGATTGCAACAAAGTTTTTCTCGAAATGTCGAGAAAAGTTTAATGGACGATATAGGATAATCGGCTCCATATTATATCCGTCAGAAAGATTGCGTCGGAGTACGGAACAAGCTGCAGGCCGACGAGTGAAGAAAGCGGTCGTAGTGAAGTTTCTCAATGGTTGAGTGGTCATAATACCCTCACAGTGGAGGACAAACGCGCTTGGGAAGGTGTTGTCTGCAGTTCATGAGCGATAGACTTTGCACATAGAGAGGTGCTCATCACACCGGTAATTATTTCGGACGACAAGGCTTGTTCGGTGAGTTCAAGGTCAGTTGGTGAGTGTGAAGAACGGAGGCGTGAGAGCGTGTCCGTGGAAATTGGTGCTGTGTGGCTGAAGATAGCACGTAATCAGCGTCAGGGAACCTTTGGACGGAAGGTACCAATTGTGAGGGCCGATTCGCCCGATGGCAGGTTGGGAAGACCGGGCCCAAAAGGTTGGGTCTTGGCGTTCTTTCCGGCGTCACCGGCGAAGCGTGAGAAGTGGCCGGCCGGATAACCTTAATCGGGGGCCGGGTCTGCAGACGGGCCCGTGCCTCGAGGGAAATGGGAGTGAGGCGGGCGCATCTGATTCGTGGCCCGCCTGATAGGGCACAAGAGTGGATCGCCAGCCCCTGTCCACATGTGGTTCATAGCCAATCAGAATGTCACTTCTCAGAAGACGGATTGGAGAGGTGGATTGGTGGGATTCGGCCTGGCCCTTGGCCCTTGCATGGAAGGAGGGATGAATGAGTGACGCCAGGGAACCCCCTTGAAGGAAGAGGAAAAGTGTCCAGAGAGAAGAAGACAATATGTGCGGTGTTCTTCTTCCTTCCCCCCTTCTCAATCTTGACTTGCTGCGGTCTGTTGCCCTTTGCTCGGAATATTTGAACTGTCATCTGAGAACATGCGGCGAACTGGGAGGTTTTGGGCAACTATATTTCAGTCAACATTGAACGCCCTGTACAAGGTATTTCAGTCAATCGAGTCATGAACTCAAGTGAAGAGGTACTGCTTCATTTGGTTGAGATGATCCTCTCTTTTTGAGTTGAGTGAGATTATCCACCCACCGGCCGAAAAGAACTTTCGTGTAACACAGGGAGAGTAGGAAGGAAAAAAAAAAGCGAGAAAAGAAAAAAAATGCTGGACCCTGCTTGCTGTGCCGCAAATCCCAAGGTCACTTTTTCCCACGATGTGCTGGTGCACGATGGACACTGGCGGCTCGCGTGCGGCGCAACTGGCGGGGGAAAACGCCCGGCTAAGCGGGCAGAGGTATGCGAGAGCTCCAAATGGGTTCTAGTCCGAGGCCAACCTGGCAACGACGAGTTGGAAATGCGCATCAAATTGGGTCTTTTTTTTTTTTTTTGCTTTGGAAACTCGAAGGAGCTTTCGTATAATGATTTCCCGTTGGACGACGCATTGTGACATTGTGTGGAGTGTCTGGGTCAGCTTTGCAGTTGGTTTGTCAATTCCTGCTGGTGCTTACTGGCGCAATTTTAATCGCGGAACATGGCTGAAAAGGACATTCAAAAAAGAGACACCAGCAGGCAGCCATTTGAGACTTTTCTGTCCGTCTCTTTTCGGCTGTTTGTAGCACCGAACTTCTGTCCCTGCCATTTTTCTTTTCTTCTTCTCTTCCTTCTCGTCTTATGCGCGCCCAGCCTTTGTCGCCCGGTCTCGCTCTGGGGTACTTGGGAGAAGGAACGAAGTGCTCTTGCCTTCTCTACCTCTCTCTCCAGTCCCCACCATATCTGCGTGCCTGCCTCACGAGCGCTGCTCTTTCCCTTGCTTGTTTCTCCCCGAAGTACCTACCTCGTGTGCTCGCCTCCTTCCTCCTGTGTCGCCGCCAATCCTTCCCATCGTGGCCCCAATGCTGTGTGGTTCCTTCCTATTAGTTTAGCCTTGGCTCCTTCTCGCTTGCCGTGAATGCTTGGCTGACGGCCACCTTTAGCCGTGGCTTCTTCTTTGGGGTTCATCCAAACAAACCGTGACTGCGCTCCTATCCATCCCTCCTTCTCTGCAATGTTCGTGACTCCCACAAACTTGATCCTCATTTCAAACGCGACATCCATACATACTACACGCCTGTATCCGTAAACCTTCATACGATAACCTCTCGCCGCCCGTCTCTCCCGTTTGTCGCAGAAGGTGGATTGCGCGTTCTTTCATCGCAACTCGGCAACGTCAAGCATCTCATCGACTGCGATCACCCTCCATCAGACTGTTTCCACTTCGGTCCCATCTCCCTGGATTGCGCCCTTCCCAACGCGAAACTCTCCGGCACTCAACCACACTCCAGCGATACTCCCTCCATCGAAGCCATCCTCCCCCTCTGCCAGACTTCCAGTCATTCCGATTACTCCAGTCGTTCCCGTTGTCGCGCTCTTCGATTTTCTCGAGGAAGCATCTGTACTCCGCAAATCGTCTTATCAAATCCAACCACATCCTGGCCGCGCTCACCACCCCTCCACGCGTCCACCGTCACTTCGCTGCGCATCTTGCACCCTTCTCAACGGCGATAGTCCCGGCAGCGCCACACTTTAAGCTCAGAACGCTGCGACGCTCCCCTCCCCTCCGCAGAGGCCACTCACTAGTCCCGGCGTCATCAAGCAGCACTAGCACGCCCTCCAAGTCTCCATCCCGGGGCCCCTTTGGTTCCTCGAGGGAAAAAGTCCACGTCGTATCGCCCGCCGCGATATACCTACGGGGACCTGGAGATCCCAGTCGAAGCTGGAAAGTACGGATAGTCAGCCTGCACACACCTGCTTACGCCTGCGGCTTGCTTGGCTCGCCCTTGCAACCTCGACGTTCCACTCAAACAGGCCTTCTGGCGACCCGCTCCCACTCCGGCCTAGGTATTGCTGGTCGCAGTCAATCTATCTGGCTGCGTGCCTGTCAGCTAGTCTCGTCGAACAGAGAGGGCTCCATTAATAGAAGTCCATTTAGGTAGCAAGAATGCCACCTTCATCGTCGTCGCCACCCCCAATCCTCGCCATTACGGCCACTTATCTACACCTGCTGGCCCAACACCTCCCCCGGCCCCTCTACGAAGTCCTTCAAAAGCTTCACAACCACATTGCGCGCTTCTTCGCCGGCGTCGCATCATCTGCTCTCGTCGTTCGCACACACTCGCTTATCCCTGCCAAGATGCATCGCCCGCTGGGCTTCTCGGCCTTTCTGGTCACGCTGTTCTTGATATTCGGACTACCCGTCATCCTCGCCCAGAGCGAGCCGTTCCACTGTTATCCATACCCGCCCGCCGACAAGCTCGCTAGTCCCTTCATCACCCTGCAGCCGCATTGCTGTAAGGGCTCAATCGACAACAAGCTGAGAGTAGGCACCGACTGCGAATTGGCCAACGGAGGAAAATACAAGACAAAGTTTGGACAGGATCTGGGAACTTGCGCGACAGGCTGGGTGGACGCGTGCTGCATGCGACTGGTATGCGCACACATCATACTGTTCTTTTCGGATTTATCGCTAACGGCTGACCTAGCATTACCCGCCCGAAATTGCACGGCCAGAAATGTCCTATTGCGATGCAGGCTTTCTCGTCAAGGCCGAAGCCAAGAATATCATTGATGCCCGTAGCTGGAACCCGAAGAAATACGGAATTTGATGATGGGAGGCGAGGATTGGAACAACGATTACATAAACATGGCCACGATACGGCGAGCTTTGCTCGATGACACTCAGCCACGGCAGGGTCAGGCGAATCGAGTGAAATATGGGACACCTCCACGGCCGATGATGCCCCAGGAAATGCGGCGTGGGGCGAGAGATCGAGCGAGACCCAGCGAAACCCCAGCGGCTCCAGCGAGTCAGGGAATCTCCACCGCCGCAACGATCCGAGTGAAGAGACTATCGACTAGGAGCGCAGGAGCACTCAGAGGCCGCCCTGCGCTGTTTGAGAGGGAGGAAACACACTACCACCTAACGAATGGCGAAACAAAGGCATTTTGGCGTTTTGCGGGCGACGACTGCATTATGATGGCACGATTGCGACGGTCGCCCTCGTTCGAAACAACTTAGGGCTTCCGCATTATATACCCAGGGTAACTGATTTTCGTTACCTACCATTTGCATCCTATCTTGTACAAAAGCAGTCGGGATTTTTAGACGAGGGGCCGGAAGAGGGGGCCGAGAAGAAACGAAACACAGA